GTAAATTTGAAAATCCAAACCTCTCATTTCACTATTGAGGCTAAAGTTGAAGCAATATAAGATAGTGAAGTTCATAGAAGTCAATCACAAGATGGCTAAGATCCAGTCTATTGTGAATTTGTTGCATAATGCTTTCAGCTCACGACATTGTATTAATATAATGAGCACTGCTGAAGGTCACTGTTGGACTATCAGAACTCTCCGAAAGTCTTTTGGTCTACCATTTAGCAGTTATGCTCCATTGTATATTTTTCTATCTCTATTTTTTTTCCGCACCTGTCCTTTTAAGAAATGGCTGCCAGAAGATGTCTTGTTAAAAGTATAGTTTGGCATCTGTCACAACTTTATGCAGTTAAATTTCGTGCATAACTAGAAGAAAATTATAATATTTCATAAAGGCCATGAGGGCCTGCACAGAACTGTCCTGCGGACATTCCATATTGGAAGGAAAATAATTGATGTTGAAAAATTAAAGCTAAAGGTGAAGTTTTACCTGCTTATTAAACCAATTGAATTGTTAGTTTTGCCTAGTATTTCATGGAAGGCTGGTAGTCGTTATATTCTATTGCTCTCTTCTATGTGTTAAGACCAATATGTGCATAAATTAAAACTTTAAAAATCCACAAAACCACAATGAGATATCACTTATCTCCAGTGAGAATGGCCTTTATCAAAAAGTCCCAAAACAATAAATGTTTGTGTGGATGTGGAGAGATAGAAACACTCATACACTGCTGGTGGGACTGTAAACTAGTGCAACCTCTGTGGAAAGCAATATGGAAATACCTCAAAGAGCTGCAAGTAGAACTACCGTTTGATCCAGCAATCCCATTACTGGGCATCTACCCAAAGCAACAAAAGACATTCTATAAAAAAGACATCTGCACTTGAATGTTTATAGCAGCACAATTCACAATTGCAAAGATGTGGAAACAACCCAAGTGACCATCAATACGAGTGGATGAATAAAATGTGGTATATGTATACCATGCAGTACTATTCAGCTATAAGAAACAATGGTGATATAGCACCTCTCGTATTATCCTGGATAGAGCTTGAGCCCATCCTTCAAAGTGAGGTATCACAGGGATGGAAAACCATGCACCACATGTACTCACCATCAAACTGGTACTGACTGATCAACACTAAGGTGTTCGCATGGTAGTAATACTCACTGGGTGCCGGTCAGGTAGAGGGGGTGGGAGGTGTGGTTTAGAGAGGGTGGGGTGAGTAAACCCACAGCTAATGGAGACGGGGCGCACTGTATGGGGGAAGGACACGCTTGTGGCCCTGGCTTGAGCAAGACAAATGCATTTCATGTAACCCAAGTGTTGGTACCCTCATAATATCCTGAATTAAAAAAAAATGTGGTGGCTGGTTTGATCTTCCATCCAGAGCGCTCAAACTTTCTCCACATCAGAAATAAAACTGTTTCACTTTCTTACCATTCATGTGTTCACTAGAGTGGCACTTTCAATTTATTTGAAGGCCTTTTCCTTTACATTCACAACAGAGCTGTTTGGTGGAAGAAGCCTAGCTTTCAGCCGATCTTGGCTTTTAATAAGCCTTCCTCACTGAGCTTAATCATTTCTAGCTTTTTATTTAAAGTGAGAGACATACGACTCTTCCTTTCACTTGAACACTTGCTGGACATTGTAGGATTATTGATTGGCCTAATTTCAATATTGTTGTGCCTTACGAAATAGGAAGGCCCGAGAAGAGACAGACATGAGGACAGCTGGCCAGTGGAACAGTCACAACACACACCACATTGGTTGATTAAGTTCTGTGTCTTACATGAGTGCAGCTCGTGGTGCTCCAAAACAACTGCAATAGTAACATCAAAGATCACTGACCACAGATCACCATAACAGATATAATAATAATGAAAAAGCTTGAATTATTGAGAGAATTACCAAAATGTGACACAGAGACTTGAAATGAGCATGTGCTAGTAGAAAAAGTGGCACTGATAGACTTGCTCAACACAGGGTTGCCACAAACCTTCAATATGTAAAAATTGCAGTATCTGTGAAGCACAAAAAGCAAAGAGCAATAGTACTTCACCATCTGGGTTTTCACCTATATTATTAACTTTATTTTTCAATTTATTTATTTAAAATACACACACACACACACACACACACACACACACACACACACACACACACACACACACACACACACACACACCAAGTTTGACCTCTTCCTTTAAGGGCCTTTAATTCCGCCAAATGGCAAATTTCCAAGTACAAGTAACCTGGTGACTTATTCAGTCCAAAGCATGTGGGGGAGATTGAATCACTCAGGGTTCGATCAGAGAATGAGAAACACTGTGGGTGATACACATATAATAAGGGACTTATAATAGGGTCCAAGCCTTATTTAATTGTGGGATCTTGTTAACCAGTCTTAGTAAGGCTCTTGCCTTTGCTTCAGGTGCCAGAGCCTGAAGTCAGCAGGCCAGTCAGAACGGAAAGATGAGTGTGAAGTTGGGGAAGCAAGGATAAATGGAAATACATGAGGAATATCTGGAACTCACAAGGACTGACTGGAACTCTTGTTGATCTTTCACTGCCTCCAAACCTCCCAACTTCAATGACATGAGTGCCCCGCAAGAGAAGTGGACACTCTTTTTCATGGAGTTAGTGAAGCTGAAGAAAAATATGAGGGAGAAGCTGGAGCAGTTGTGGGCCCGCCTGCAATCCCACTCCAATAAGGTAAGCCAGCACATAAGCAAAAATGTTCACGAGCTTCAGCAGCACTTGATGCCCCAGGTCTTACACGCTGAGCGTAAAACACATATGGCTACTGCTTTACCTTTGCCTTCCAAATCTTTCACCAAATGCCTCTCATAGCACAAGCAATCTCAGAATCATACAGGGAATGCTGAACAAAGTTTTAGCTTTTATAGCTGGGTGCAGCGGCTCACACCTGTAACCCTAGCACTCTGGGAAGCCAAGGCGGAAGGATTGCTTGAGCTCCGGAGTTCAAGACCAGCCTGAGCAAGAGTGAGACCCATCTCTACTCAAAGTAGCCAGGTGTGGTGGCACGCACCTGTAGTTCCAGCTACTCGGGAGGCTGAGGCAGGAGGATCGCTTGAGCCCAGGAGTTTGAGGCTGCAGTGAGCTATGATAGCACCACTGCACTCTACCCAGGTTGACAGAGTAAGACTGTCTCAAAAAAAAAAAAACAACAACAAAAAAACCACAAAGGTTTTAGCATAGCTAAGTTGGCAGGGTATAAATCCCCCAGAGAGGCAGACTTGCTTCCAAACAGCAAGTAGAAAAATAACTATATAATAAATCTGTTTTTGCTATTTTTCTAACACTCATTTTCACTCGAAATCCCAAATGCTGTTTTTCTAATGTTTTGTTAATGTTGTTAGTGGTATGCATCCCAGGACGTTATACATGATGCCCCAAACTTGGGATTCTAGTTTATAACTCTCTTCTCCTTATGCCCTGTTTTAAACAACAGTGCTCAGCTCAGTCTCATTGCATTCTCCACATTAAGTTCCCTTTTGGGATCTTAAGGTCGATTCCTGACAGCAGCCCTAGGCAGGGGTCCTTGGTAGGGGTTTCTTGAGGCCCCCAGATTCCAGGGTAGTTGTTCCTAACTTTGAATCTCAGTGAGCAGGAACTTTGGTCAACCTATTGTCCATTCCAAAGTCTAATCTCATTATGCAAATTTCTCTACTTGCTTCCAAGGGACCAGAGATAATACCTATTTCAAGGAATATTATTAAAGGAAAGCCAATGTCAGGGTATAAGATGTTTCATGACATCTTTTTATCAACAGAAGTCTGCAAAGAAGGGTGTGTTATAGTTTATGGGTGTTGGGGGGAAGGTGATCTTTTGCATTTACCTACACAAATAACATGTATAAAACAAGAATAAAAATTATTGAAGCATAATTGGACATCCAGTACCCCAAATTTACATTAAATAAGGCTTAAAACCATTTTTAAAGCAATTTAAAATCAGTTGAGAGTTTAGCAATGCATGATGTCTAACAAGATTTTTCTTCCAATTATATCAAATGGTTGTCTATAAGCATAAACAATTTTTACTGCAACATTGTTACTCTTAAAAGTTAATTGGAATATATATTTTCAAATATGAGGGATTCTTATACTCCTGCCTGGCATCTTACAAAACCTGGTTGTCCCAGGAGGACTTCCTAGAAGGTAATCCTGTGGGAGTTCTCAACCATAAAACTTCAAGAAAATTTGAAAGTGCAGAGCGAACAATTTCATGTGATTACATTTAATTTACTTCTTCCCAGCTTCGGTGTGCTCAAATTAATCAATATTATTAAAATATAGATTCAGAAAATATGGCTAACCCCAAGTTATTTATTCTAAGGGGGTGAATTATCTGGTTAGGAATTTATCTACCCAGCATTTTCTCTTCTTTTCCTTTTCTGAGTGTGTGTGGCACCAAGTGTCGGTATTCAAGGAACAAAACCATGGTTTGTTTTATTTAACTTTATTTTTAAAGAATAAACACATTTCTGAAATTATCAAGTCAACTGAACAAACTGATCTTCAGAATAAATTGCTAGACGTGAAAAAAAGGTAAAAAGGTCATAGTTTTCAGAATGTCAAAAATGAGAAGATACATCTAATAAGGTTATTAATTTTTTCAACAAAATTAGGAAACTTTAGGGGTCAACTATAAAGGAATATAGCAAAAAAGGCACAAATAAATTGCTTATGCATTCATATAAAGATAAAGGATAATAAAAGAGGAATAAAGAAACCAAGTAAGAGGGGAAGAACCAGAGAGGAAGAATGTGGGAGGAAGGAAGGGAAGTAGAGAGGAAAGAGATAGAAGAGATGGTTTTTAGATTATCTTGTGGAAAATAAAAGACAAAAGGTAAATCTATTAATCTATTAACAAATCTAAATTAGTCAAACTGAATTTTTAAGTCCAGTGTACTAGAGCTGGCATCTAGCTGGAATGGGTACGAGGCCTTCAGGAAGGCAAGCACTGCACTCAGTCTTGGTTCTCCTCCTCCTCGGACGAATCTGAGGAGCTGGAAGACTCATACAAGCCTCCACCTACGACCCCAACTTCAGGATCTCCCCAGTGCTGTTGAGGACCTCTTTGTGTCAGGTGATGCATAAGGAACCGAAGCATGTGGCTGTCAACCAGGTCAGGGTGCTGCAAGTTATCTTCATCTCGTTCTTGCTTGTTCTTCTTAATCACATTCTTTAGCCCAGTGAGCTCAGTGGAAGCTTTAGCTGTGGGTGCCCAGATCTTGGCATCATGGTCTAGGCCACTGGTTGCCAACACAGGTAGGCAAGGGTGGGGTTCAAGACAGTTTACTGCGCCTTCATTATCCCCCTCCATTAACTGAATGATCTGGCAGGATGATTTCTCCCAGAGGAAGATGTGCCCACAATCACTACCGCTCACTACAAACTCACTCTTAGGGCCATAGAAATTGACACCTTTGATTGTGACATTATTTCTGTGCCCCTTATATCTCTTAACATATTGAGCACCATCATCATGAGAGGAATTGAAGAGGTAAATATCATCATCACTGTAGCTGGCCAGGAGCTCTGTGCCATCGTGGCTGTACACGAGGCAAGTGATAGTTGTTTTGGAATCACAGTTAATCAGGTGATGAGGACAAAATTTCTTGAGTACGCCATTGTTCTCATTCTCATCAATTTTCCTCTGGTCATAAATCCTTACAAACTGATCTTGTCCACCCACTGCAAATTGGTAGGTATTGACAGGATTCACATAGATTGTGTACAGTCCCACTTTCTTCTCCCTCTCTTTGGTTACCACCACTTTTGAAGCTGGCCTGCCTTGTCTGAGGTCAATGGTGAAGACAACTGCATCTTCACCTGAACTTAGGAACTTAAAAGGGGAGTCTGGCTCCAGAGCCAGCTTGTGGGAGGCTGCCTTGTGCTGGGCCACACATCTAGTATTCTTGCTGTATGGCATAATAGATAGATCTGCTACTCGTACCTGGCCATCACGGGCACATGTGGCCAGGATGGAATCACCACAGTTAGGAAGGAACTTAGCCTGAAAGACATTATTTTTGTGGCCACTCTCAAAGTCCAGTACTGGCCGCTCACGCATCCAGTCCCACACTATCACCTTCAAGTCATCACTGCTAGTAGCCAGCCGGGTGCCACGCTGGTTAAAGTGCACAGTGTTCACACAGCCGACATGACCTTCAAGGATACACTGCAGGTAGAAACGCTGCACAAAAGCTCTGGCCCCACAGGCCTCATATACAAAGCGGGCACTTGAGCCCAGCTGCCGCTGCCGAAGAGCAGTAAGAACTTGCCAGCGAGGTCGGGGCAGGGCCGATGTCTCTGAGGATACCCAGTCCTCCAGGGCCCGATCCTCATCTGCTGAAATCTGCTCATGGTTGGCCTGACTGCACCTTACACACAACCGAGGCTCCTCTTCCTCTTCCTCCTCTTCTTCCTCCTCCTCTATCTCCGATTCTTCCTCATCCTCTATCTCCGATTCTTCCTCATCCTCTATCTCCACTCCTTCCACCTCCTCCATCTCCACTTCGTCCACCTCCTCTATCTCCACGTCTTCCTCCTCCTCTTCCTCCTCCCCTTCCTCCTCCCCTTCCTCCTCCAAGTGATAATGGAACAGGCTTTCACCACTGATACAGAAAGGGTCAAAGTCGTCCGTATCATCAATGTTAATGTCCTCACTTGAACTTTCTGTGTCTGCTCCTTGACTTTCTATGCCGGCATAGTTGGGGAAACCACCATCCCTGGCACCACCGCCATCTCCGGTCAATCTCGGAGGTTCTGAGGCCTCCATTTCACTATCTAAGTATGGCTCCCTCCCCGCCATTGCTCCAGACCTCTCCTCGGCGCTGCTGAGGTGGCTTCCGTCCTCTAAGTCTGGTAGGCCGCCTGTGGCGCTCTCTTCGCGGGACATCTTGAACAGTGTTTGCTGTAGCTGATCTGGAACGGGAAAAGCTGACCCTTAGTAGCTAAGGGAAGTGGGCAGACCCGTCCCGAATGAGGACAGACCTGAGGAGAAAGGACGCTAGCGGCACGGAGACGCCAACGTGGCGGGCTAAAGCAGAAGGGGAAATGGGCGGCTGAAGCAATTACGAGTACGGAAGCTGGTGAGGTTCAAAAGACTTCTGCCAACATTGCGTCCTCGCAGCATCCAGAGACTGCTCTGATTTTTCCAGGCTCAAAGCCCCACCCCCACAACCATCTTACTCTGTGAGCAGCTGTGCATGCTGTTTCTTTGAAAATTGAAACTTGCTGCACTTTGGAAAATGTTCTTATTAGAGAACCATCAGCAAAAGTGATCCTCCCTAGGCAAATAGTTTTCAGAAGATTCTCAGTGCTTTCCTAGAAGATAATGTGCAATATGAGATGAAGATGTAGGTAAAAGCAATGAAAGGTTAGCTAAGCTTCCCATAGCTAGTGACTTCCTGACATACAGGAAACATCTTAAGAAATTTGAACAACTTGAGGGAAACCCTGAGAGCTCTAACTGGTAGAATCAGTATAGAGTTGCCAGATAAAATACAAGACATTTTGTTAATTGCATTTCAGATAAACAACGAATAATTTTTAGTATGAGTAGATCTCAAATATTATGTTAGACATACTTCCGCTAAAATTTTATTCATTATTTATCTGAAATTCAAATTTAACTTGGTGCCTTGTATTTTTATTTGTTAAATCTAGTAGGCTTCATTAGTGACAAAAGGAATTTAGTCCCTCAATGTAATCAAGGTTGAAATCAACTGGTCAATTGAAATTGGACACTATAATGAGTAATTGCTTCACCAATTTGAGATAGAAGTACATCCTTTTTTTCTTATTCCTCCAGAGATTCTATATAGTTATTTGGAGTTAGATACTTAAGACACTTAGGGAATACCAACATAATTTTATGAAAAAAATTCTATGATTGTTATAGAACTATCAAAATACTTTATATATCTTTCAAAATATGTCAGAGGCTTCTTTGGGGCCTTTTAGGAAAGAAAACAGGTGTACAGAGAAAGTTAATTGACACTGTTGTGTTAACTTAAGAGCTTCTCTGAATGAATTACCTAAGGTGATGTCAGTATATTTTCTAAGGGATCCAGTAAACTGCTGACTAAGAATGCCAGAATGAGGAAAACAAGGTTTCCCTCAGAGTAATTGCAAAATAAACCAAAATTGATTAAACATAGGAGTATACAGTCTTCTAAACAAGAGCAGCAGAACGGGATCCATTTGTACTCACCATCAAATTGGTATTAACTAATCAACACATAAATGCACATA